TGGCAGTCGGGCTCCCTCTCCCGTATCGTGGATGCTTGTTCTCGATCAGCACAAACACCGGTGTCTTAATGTCTTTTCCTCGCATTTCTATCAAAATGACATTTGCTGTGAGATCTTCGTCCTTTCTTTGATTAAGGAATGTATTACTTAAGCACTGTGTTGTTGCCACCATGCTGTTCTGACATCATTTGGTATCCCCGCGTGAGAATGCAACTTTGTGTTTAAGTGACGGTAATCTGTGGTTAGATTTGCCTTCATTCGCTGCAAGCGTACGTTTAATTTCTTGTGCAGGATTTGTACACGGTTCTTCCGCACTCTTCTTTTTTGAGTTACGGTGTTCTTGGTGACAGGGCACATTATAGATCATCCTATGGGGACCTGACTCCCCCATGTCAGCCCGAGCATGAGACCTCGGAGGGAGATGGAGCCATGACAGACGTGCCGCCAATAATCCAAGCAGCAACGGTCACCTCCTCGCGTCGTTTGGCATCGCACCAACCAGTCCCGCCGAAGCAAGGACCGTGCCGGGAAGCCCGGGACGGCGCTGCATGGTGTCGTCCCACACATCCCGGACAATGAACATCCAAAAGTACATTCGCCGCTAACAGGGGTCGGTCGTACGACCAACCCCCGCGAGTCACAATAAAAACCTCCCGCCAACATCTGACGGGAGGCATGAGAACACAAGTAGACTACTGACCCAAGCTTCGAAGGGGCCCAAGTCGGGATCATCCCAATCCCAACCTAGGCCTGTGTGTAGGAATCTAGGCGCAGCAAAGGTGAACGAGTTCGGGAAAGAGGCGCATCGCCACCGAATCCAATCACGACCCGGCCACCCGAGATATTCGCCCTCGAGACAATCCTGGACATTGCCGATCGAACTAAGCCGTGTCAGCAACATGGTCACGGCCCGAGGTTCGTGGAACATTTTGGTGCTGGCTGAGCTGTTTGGCTTGGGCACCGGATGGACTAATTGGATGAGACATTGGCCGTGCGACTTCTGGCCGAGTTACGTGACTCGGGCAAAGACTGATCCTATCGTCCGAGTTGTTCGACTCGGGCACTGGATGGACTGATTGGACGAGACGTTGCTCGTGCGACTATTGGTCGAGTTGTGTGACATGGCCAACAGTCGCACGGGTAGCGTCTCGTCCAATCAGTCCATCCGGTGCCCAAGCCGAATAGCTCAGCCAATAAGATCAGTCTTTACTCGAGTCACGCAACGTGGCCAGCAGTCGCACGAGCAGCGTCTCATCCAATCAGTCCATCCAATGCCCGAGCCGAACAGCTCGGCCAGTAGGATCAGTCTTTGCCCGAGTCAA